AGGTGCAGGGGCCCAAGGACTTGGGCCATCTTCTACTGCTTTCCCAGACCATAGCAGAGAGCTGGATCAGAAGAGGAGCAGCTGGGACTAGAATCGGTGCCCATATGGGATGCCGGTACTTCAGGCCAGGGCTTTAACCCGTTATGCCACAGCGCCAGCCTCATCTTCATAGATTTTGATTAGAGCTTAAAATCTGTGACTGGCTTTGTTCCCTTTCTTAAATGGGGGATGCAAAATTTTTTCTTCTGTTTTTCTTTCAAAAGCTTTATAGTTTTAGCTTTTATATGTAGGTCTATGGTCTACAAATAAATTTTTGTGTATGGAATGATAAAGGGATTGAAGTATATTTGTTCATAACTTTAATGTTTATTCACTTGTTGAAAATGCACACTGGTTTATAGTATTAGCTTACTGTACATTTTTTATGCCTATTTCTGGATTCTATTCAGTTTCTTACTATTTATATACTTTTAAAAATAAGATTTATGTATTTATTTGAAAAGCAGAGTTAGAGGGAAGGAGGGAGGGAGAAGTAGAGAGGGAGATATATATCTTTCATCTGCTGGCTCACTCCCCAGATGGCCACAACGGAGCCAGGAGCCTGGAACTCCATCCAGGTCTCCCACGTGGGTGGCAGGGAGCCAAGTACTTGGACCATCACTTGCAGCCTTCCAGGATGAATATTAGCAGGAAGCCTTTTTCAAAACCTCATGTAGGGGCCTGCATTTGTGGTGTAGCAGGTTAAGCGACTGCCCACTCTGCTTCTGATCAACTCACTGGTAATGTGCCTGAGAAAGCAGTGGAAGACAGCGCATGTGCACGGGTCCCTGCCACACCCATGTGGGATACCCGGTCGGGGTCCAGGTTTCTGCTTCAGTAGGCCGAGTCCTGGCTGTTTTGGTCATATGGGAATGAACCACAGATGGAAGATATCATTTTCCCTGTCTCTCTCTCTCTCTCTCTCTCTCTCTCTCTCTCTCTCTCACACACAGGTACAGTTATAGACAGTGAGAAAGAGAGAAAGGTCTTCCTTCCATTGGTTCACTTCCCAAATGGCTGCTACGGCTGGCGCTGCACTGGTCTGAAGCCAGGAGCTGGGTGCTTCCTCCTGGTCTCCCATGTGCATGCAGGGACCCAAGCACTTGGGCCATCCTCCGCTGCCCTCTTGGTCCACAGCAGAGAGCGGGACTGGAAGAGGAGCAACCGGGACTAGAACCCGGGGTGCCAGTGCCACAGGAGGAGGATTAGCCAAGTGAGCCACGGCGCTGGACCTCTCTGCCTTTCAAATAAATAAAATAAATCTCTTTTTAAAAAAGTACCACATGTATCTCTCTAACTCTGGGCAACCATGATTTTGTTTTCTATTTCTAAAGTTTTATCTTTTTAAAAGTTTTATATAAAAGTAAATATACAGCATGTAACCTTTCAAGGTTAGCTTTTTTTTTTTTCAATCCACATAATTTCCTGGAAGTCCATTCAAACTGTTGCACATATGCACAGGTCATTTCTTGGTATTGCTAAGTAGTATTCCGTGGTATATGTGTACCATAGTTTCACCATTCACGCACTGAAGGACATCTAGATTTGTATTAACCTCTTATTACCTCTGTAATAAACTTAGTGACTTAAAACAACTCAAATTTATTATTTTGGAGTTCTGAAGGTCAGAAACCCCAAGGTCAAGGTTGGCTGGCTGTGTCCCCTCTGCGGGCCCTAGGGGAGAATCTGTTTCCTTGCCATTTCTAGTGTCTGGAGACTGCCTGTGTTCCTGGACTTGTGGCCTCTTCCTGCATCTTCAAATCTTTCTCTCTGACCTCTACTTTGGGCCTCATATCTGTTACTGACTTCAATCTTATGGGCTTTTCATTCCTTCCTTTCTTTTTTTAAAAAGATTTATTTATTTGAAAGGTAGAGAGGCAGAGGTAGAGAGAGTGGTGGGTGTGTGTGGGGGGTCTTCCATTCACGGTTGCACTCCCCAAATGGCAGCAATGACCAGAGCTGAGCTAATCCGAAGCCAGGAGCTTATTCTGGGTCTCCCATGGGAGTACAGAGGCCCAAGGACTTGGGCCATCTTCTACTGCTATCCCAGGCCATAGCTGAGAGCTGGATTGGAAGAGGGGCAGCTGGGACTAGAATGAGTGCCCATATGGGATGCCAGCACTGCAGTTGGCGACTTTACCGATACATCATAGCACTGGCCCCTGGTCTCTTTCTTATAAGGACAGTTATGACTACATTGGATCTGCTTGGATAATCCAGAGAGTTCTGTATGTCAAGATCTTTTTTTTTAAAAAAAGAAAACAGATTTAATTATTTGAAAGTCTGAGTTACAGAGAGAGAGAGAGAGAGAGAGAGAGAGAGAGAGAACTCTTTCATCTGATGGTTTACTTCCCATATGGCTGCAACAGCCAGAGCTGGGCCAGGCCCAAACTAGGAGCCAGGAGCTTCATCCCAGTCTCCCACATGGGTGCAGGGGCCTGGGTACTTGGCCCATCTTCTGCTTTTCCCAGGCCATTAGCAGGGAGCTAGAATGGAAGTGGAACAGAGAGGACATGAACTGATACCCTTATGGGATACCGGCATTGAAGGTGGCAGCTTTACCCACTATACCACAATGCCAGCCCCAAGATCCTTTTTAATTCATTTTTTAATTTTAATTTTTATTTTTTTTAATTTATTTTTTGACAGGCAGAGTGGACAGTGAGAGACAGAGAGAAAGGTCTTCCTTTACCGTTGGTTCACCCTCCAATGGCCGCCGCGGCTGGCCCACTGCGGCCGGTGCACTGCCCTGATCCGATGTCAGGAGCCAGGTGCTTCTCATGGTCTCCCATGGGGTGCAGGGCCCAAGCACTTGGGCCATCCTCCACTGCACTCCCTGGCCACAGCAGAGAGCTGGCCTGGAAGAGGGGCAACCGGGACAGAATCCAGCGCCCCGACCGGGACTAGAACCCGGTGAGCCGGCGCCGCTAGGTGGAGGATTAGCCTAGTGAGCCGCAGCGCAGGCCTTTTAATTCATTTTTTAAAAATAGTTATTTTATTTGAAATCCAGAATTACATATAGAGGGAGACCACCCCCTTCCCCCGACAGACTTCCCAGGATTGGGCTAGGCTGAAGCCAGGAGCCTGGAACCCCATCTGGGTCTCCACGTGGTTAGCAGGGGGCCCAAGCACTTGGACCAACTTTCCAGGTGCATTAGCAGGGAGCTGGATTGGAAATAGAGCATCTGGGACTTGGATGGCACTCATCTGGGATACAGGTGTCACAAGAAGTGGCTTAAACTGGCGCATCACAATGCTGGCTCTTTAGTTTGATTTTTGCTTGCCATGTAGGGTAACATACTCTCAGGTTCCATGGATTAGGATGTGTGTGTGTGTGTGTGTGTGTTTTTTTTTTTTGACAGGCAGAGTGGACAGAGAGAGAGACAGAGAGAAAGGTCTTCCTTTTCCATTGGTTCACCCCTCAATGGCCGCCACGGCCGGCACACCGCGCTGATCCGAAGCCAGGAGCCAGGTGCTTCTGGTCTCCCATGAGGGTGCAGGGCCCAAGCACTTGGGGCATCCTTCACTGCACTCCCAGGCCACAGCTGAGAGGTGGACTGGAAGTGGAGCAAACGGGACAGAATCCCGCGCCCCGACCGAGACTAGAACCCGGTGTGCCGGCGCCGCAGGCAGAGGATTAGCCTGTTGAGCTGCGGCGCCGGCCAGGCTGTGTATTTCTATGGTAAGCAAAGATGTCTACTATAGGGTCAATCCTAGATGTTGGCTATTGTGACTAAAGATAAACGTCTGATTCGTGTTTTTTTTTTTTTTTTAAGTATATGCGAACACAAATCCTTATTTCTCAGATATAAATGCCCAAGAGTATAATTTCTAGGTCATATGGTAATTGCATAATTATTTTATAAAAAATTTTAAATCTGTTTTCCAGAATGGTTATGATATTTTACATTTCCACCACAATGTATGGATGATTCAGTATCTGCACCTCTGTCAGTATTTGGTGTATTCACTATTTTTTAAAATTTATTTTAGCCAGTCTGCTGGTTTATAGTATATATAGATATCTCACTGTGGTTTTAATTTGTGTTTTCCTAATGGCTAATGATGTTTAAAAACTTTTTTTTTTAATGTGGATGTTGATTTTCAAAAAGGTAGTAGTATCATCTCTATCGCAGTGGTTAGTAATGTTAAGGAGTTTCAATATTTATTATTATTTTTTAAAATTTTTTGACAGGCAGAGTTAGACAGTGAGAGAGAGAGGGAGACAGAGAGAAAGGTCTTCCTTCCGTTGGTTCACCTCCCAAGTGGCCGCTGCGGCCGGCACACCGCGCTGATCCGAAGCCAGGAGCCAGGTGCTTCTCCTGGTCTCCCATGCGGGTGCAGGGCCCAAGGACCTGGGCCATCCTCCGCTACCCTCCAGGAGTTTCAATTTTTATTACACACAAGTCGGGGAGGGAATTTTGGGAAAGACCTGGCCCAATATAAGCCTGGGGAAAAGGGGGTTGTGCACTCACCTCTTTGGAACAAAGGTCGGCGCGAGGTTGCACCTGCTCACAAGCTGTCACTTCGGCTAAGGACTAGGCCAGGGAACGCTGATTGCCTAGATGGTGCCCCTTTGCTGAGAAGGAGCGGCCTGCGACCCTTCAGAGCTGGCTTTAGGGCCCCGCCCCGCCCGGCCCCGCCCCGACCACGTGACCGGCGCATTTCCCGCCAGCACCGGGCAGGGACACGCGCCACCGCGAGGGAGCGCCAGAAGCAGGGCTTCCTTGTAGCGCTGATGGCGTTCGCTGGCTGCAGCTCGCTGGGCCTCCTGGCCTGGCTCCTTCTCCTTCAGCTCTGGCTCGGCGAGGCCCAAGCGCCCTGGGCAGGGGCGGGGGCATCTTCCCCTTCTCTCCCCTCAGGGGTTGGCCGCGGGGACCCCGGAACGAGCTGGTGGGAGTCGCTCGCCGTAGAGGTCCCGGGACCCCCGGCACGCCCCGATTCCATGGCATTTGCTCCAGGTGACTCCTATAATGCTCATGCAAAACGAAGGGACACGGCATCGGCTGGGGACAGTACTCCAGGGACAATGATTTCAGGTGATGTTTCGGGGCCACAGCCAGCCTCTGGGAACTGGCCTGCCCTGAGGGGGGTGGGACCCTGCTCTGGAAGGGTGGTGGTGGGGCACTGAGTGGACCCAACTGCCCTTGAGATCTGAGAGGACCCAGGTCCGCTCTGACCAGTCCTGGAAGATACAGAGCTGCCCTGCAGAGTGGGAGAGGATGTGGCCTTGCTTTTAGGGTTCTGAACCCCAGCCGGCCCTGGTGGTGGTAGTGAATGACAAGGAGCAGGTGCTTTATTCTCGCTCCCTTCCTTCACTGACCTGCTCCAGGATGTGGCCATAGAATTCTGAGGATAGTTGGTGGCGCGCCAGCCCCAGAGAGGAAGTGGCCCTGGCAGGTGAGCCTGCAGGTCAACGATAAACACGTATGTGGAGGCTCCCTCATTGCCCATCAGTGGGTCCTGACTGCTGGCCATTGCATATTTGGGTGAGTGTTTGGGGCTGAGAATGTGGGTCCCTGATCTGCTGGCCTTCAGCCAGTCCTCTCTCTCTCTCGACTCCCTCCCCCTCATCTGATAAAGGGGGTAGGGCCTCCGTAGTTGTTTGGTTGGGGGGAGACCTGAGGAGTGGCATTACTGCCAAGCCCCAAGTGGTGGTGCTGCTGTTCTGGGGACGCATGTGGAGCCCTGCTGGCCAGAGTGGTCAGGGGTCCCGGGAAGGGGTGTGGTTTGGAGGGGGAGGTGGCTGTTAGCTGGCCTGAGATGGACGCCTGAGAGGGAGTGGTGGGGGAGTATATAGATCCTTCAGGCTCTCCCTGCAGCTTTATGGAGTACACGGTGAAGCTGGGAGATATAGACGTCAATCATCAATCCAACATGGCAGTCGTGGTCCCTGTCCGAGACATCGTTATGCACCACGATTATAGTTCTCGGGGAACGATCTCCGATGACATTGCACTTGCTCTGCTCGACTTCCCTGTGAATTACTCCACACACATTCAGCCTGTGTGCCTCCCGGAAAAGACCTTCTTGGTGCCAGATGGGACGACGTGCTGGGTAACTGGATGGGGCAAACTAGAAGAAACAGGTGAGGCTATGAAGCAAGATTATAGCAACTTCTGAGGCTACCTGGGCCCTGGGGTCAGCCTACAAACTGGAAGAAGGGGCAGAGAGGCATATTTGCTAGTAGGTAGATAAGGGAGGAGGGTAGAGAAGATTTTGCCAGGGAGTAATGTCACAGCAATTTATGTGTTTATGTTCATTTGCCTGGACCTGGAGGCTTGGGTGCCAAGCATAGTGTGGTCTCCAGGGTGGATTTCAGCTTAGGATAAGATGAGCTGTTTGGCTGGCGCTGTGGCTCACTTGGCTAATCCACCGCCTGCGGTGCCGGTGCTCTGGGTTCTAGTCCCAGTTAGGGTGCTGGATTCTGTCCCAGTTGCTCCTCTTCCAGTCCATCTCTCTGCTGTGGCCCGGGAGTGCAGTGGAGGATGGCCCAAGTGCTTGGGCCCTGCACCCACATGGGAGACCAGGAGGAAGCACCTGGCTCCTGGCTTCGGATTGGCACAGTGCGCCAGCCGTATCAACCATTTGGGGGTTGAACCAATGGAAAAAGGAAGACCTTTCTGTCTCTTTCTCTCACTGTCTGTAGTGATACGCAGAGAGATGCTGGGTTTTGATTCCTCAGGCTGAGAAGACCTTGCCTTCCCTACCCTGGGCTCTTTGTACATCTCCTGTCTTGATTGGGATCTTTTTTTTTGTTTCTTTTTGACAGGCAAGATGGACAGTGAGAGAGAGAGAGACAGAGAGAAAGGTCTTCCTTTACCGTTGGTTCACCCTCCAATGGCCGCCGCGGCCGGCCCGCTGCGGCCGGCGCACTGCGCTGATCCGATGGCAGGAGCCAGGTGCTTCTCCTGGTCTCCCATGGGTTGCAGGGCCCAAGTACTTGGGCCATCCTCCACTGCACTCCCTGGCCACAGCAGAGAGCTGGCCTGGAAGAGGGGTAACCGGGACAGAATCCGGCGCCCCAACCAGGACTAGAACCCGGTGTGCTGGCGCCGCAAGGCGGAAGATTAGCCTAGTGAGCTGCGGCGCCAGCCTTGATTGGGATCTTATAGCCTCCTCTACCCTTGTTATTGTTAGCCTCATTTCCTCCAGGGTCCGATGGGGACAATATGAAATGCCTATGAGGATAACTGAACACACTGTTCTGGAATGCAGGATTGGATGCTGGCTACTTCTGTCCCATCCTTACGTAGATCAACTCATTACTACTTTGTTTCTTCAGATAAACCAGATAAAGCACCAAAGATGCTCCAGGAGGCTGACTTAACCATTATGCGTTACAAGGAATGTAATAGGTTACTCAAGAGACTGATGAAGGCTAAAAATGACGTGGTCAGGAAAGGGGCTGTCTGTGGCTATAGTGATAAAGGAAAGGATTCTTGCCAGGTCAGTTGCTGGGCCCTGTGTTACACTTGTCTCCTGAAAGCTTCCTCATCCCCAGGCAGTAGGGCCTGGATCATTGCCTAGCCCTCCACTCACCCTTCTTCACGTTAGTGAGAAGTGAGGAGAGTCAGGGTTAACCTAACCTGGTCCTCCAGGAGAGAAAGGCTGTCCCTGCTTGGAAGGGTAGGGGCAGGGGTGGGTCCAGGGTGAATCAGGCAGGTGATACTGGTGGTACAAGTTCCATGTTTTCAGCCTCCTAGTGTGTCACAGGCAATGTACCTGGGCAGGCACTTGACTCGCTATTATCTCAGAGTTAAGTGTCTTTTCTTGGCTTATATTCAGTTTTTTGAAACAGTCTTGTTTGAATAGGTACATAATATTTATTTATTAAAAATTTTAAATTCAGCTACCTCATATTCATGGAAATCTAGGTTTAGCATTTCCTTTGGAATGCATGGGGATGCCCCCACGTGTGCCTGATTTCGAGCGCTTTGCCAGCATACTCGGCCTGCTCTGATGTGGATCTGTTCCATGCCTGCCATTTCTTTCTTTCTCTTTCCTCAGGGAGATTCTGGGGGGCCCTTGGTCTGTGAGTATAATGAAACATGGATCCAGGTGGGGATTGTGAGCTGGGGCGTTGGCTGTGGTCATGAAGGCTATCCTGGAGTCTACACAGAAGTTAGTTTTTATGTGGACTGGGTCAAAAGACACATGAATCAAGCTTCCTGTCTGGATTCAACGGCCTTCCTTGTCCTCCTCCTGTGTCTGGTGTTGCCACTGGGCTCCTAGCAACCCTGTGATCACACCAGCCCACTCCCCTCCTGTTTCTTAATCTCACGCTTCACAATAAATTCCCACCAACCTCCTGTTCCATCTCAACGCCCTTCCTTGAAATCCAGTTGGGATTGAGTGAACCTGTGAAGACCCACACATGTCAGAGAGAATGAGGCTGTGAAGTGTCCCACCCTGGAGCAGGTGTTACCCACCTCAGCAACACTTAGACTGGGGCTGTGCCCTTCCTGGTAGGAAGGAGGGAGTGAACCGATTATGCTATAGGGCCAGCTGATCTGCCAGGTGGAACATGATGGCTTGCTGACATCTTGAACATTACTGAAGAAGAGACATCATCAGCAGGGAAACAAACCCTCAACCTGGCTCTGGATTCAGGGCACTCAGCTTAGAGATTGTCAAACTAGTCAGCATGGTGATTGCTCAGAGGGGATGATGGAGGCATTGCCATGGCCCTACAGAGCTGGGAGGCCCTCACTTCCACTTCCAGCTCAAGTGCCTGTGGCTGGGGAGGTTCCCTTGTACCCTAGTGAGAAGCTGCCTGTCAGTAGAGGGTCTCAGCCACACAACCGAGTCTGGCTCCTCTGACATTGGCTGCATCCAGAGACTTCCCCAGGTCCAACATACACGTACAAGTTGTGCTGAGGCATAATGGAGTGTGGAGGCTTCAGATATCAACTGAATAAATGTTTGGAGAGTGTCTGCTGTGTGCTTCTGAGTTCTGCTGCCCTGTGGGGGCTTGGTCACATGAACCGTACTCTAGAGAGCTCTTCACTGTGTACCTGGGGAACACACTCCTGGTCTGCAGTGGACTGTAGAAGATCGGAGATGAGGAGCTGTCTGCCCCCAGCAGGTCTGATGGGTGGTCCTAGGCAGCGCCGTCTACAGCCTGTGTTCTGTTTTCTCCATCAGCACCTCTAGAGCTTGCAGGGTTGTGGCACCGTTGAGCAGCCTCTGGCATGAGGAGCAGGGCAGCAAGAGGGACAGAGTTTCAGGCATTGCACACCCTGTTGTCCTTGTGCCTCCTTGCTCTGCCTTTGGGGCATTCCGTGGATACGGGCTGGGTGTTGACCTCAAAGAACTGAGTACCCACAGGGAGGAGAAAAGGTGGAAGAGGCCCATTGAGAGAAAAAAGGGGTCCTGCCTCCGAGTTCTTGGCTAGTCTGAGTAACCCAGGTGGCTCCTGGTCGTCCCAGCCTTTGTCTCCTGCACATACATCTGTCTAGATAAGTGCCAAAGCTCCCGGATATCAGAGGCCCTCGGTCTGATTGCCTTACCTGCTGCCTGAGGGAGACTGGGACAGGAAACCTCTGCTTCTCCAGCCCTCTGTGAACACCGCCATCCCAGTAAGTCCTGGGTCTCATCCTTCATGGAGAGGTGACCATGGCAGAGGTGAGGCCCCGAGGCTTGCTGCCCACCCTCAGTGTCACGTGCAGCTTTCTCTCCTGTGCATCTAGCTGCCCCTTTTCTCTGTTGGTGCTTGTGCTGCATAAGCCCCCAGAACAAGCCTGGCCTCGCCCAGGAGCCACTCTGGCCTTCACTGCGCTGGGTCATGTGACATGCAGTCCCTGGCCATGTAGGTCCTGGGTTCCTTTTTCTGTCTCCTTGGATGGACAGTCTTCCTATAGGTCAGGCAATGTGTCCATTCTTTCATTATCCTCTGTCCTCCAGCTCCCAACATGGGCAGAGAAGTTCAGGAATTATATGGAGGATGAATAATGATGGAGTAGGTAACGGTACTCACACTCTGTCTCCCTACTCCTCCCTCTCTCTGCCCTCTCAGCTCATCTCTGTCCCCATTCCTTTCCAGGTTGCCTCAGAGAAGAAGGAAGAGCACAAGAGGGCGGGAAGGTTACAGCCCCTGTGGTAGGAGAAGCCCCAGGCTCTGGAAAGTTAGGGTTGCAGATAGGGTGCCCTTTGGTCTGCATATGTTAGAGCACATGCTTTGGTGGGAGGAACTCAGAATCAGCTCTAACGTATTGTCACTGAGAATAGCTATGGTCACCAGGAAGGATAGGCGTGGCCCCCAGAGAACAGCAGTCTAAGGGCCACACAGCTATGAGGAGTCTTAACAAATACTTGTGGATTACTGACTACTCAGGCAGAGGTCTGAGGCCACAACTGGATGTGGATTGCAAGTTGGGGCTGTCACTAGGAGGCCCCTTAGGTAAAGGGCTTGGAGGCTGGGTAGAAGCAGCCTCTGGGGGAGACAGGTGACATGAGAAGGAGCGGTCGAGTGGCAGAGGGTCCTACTAAGAATATTCTAATCTGGAAGAGGGGATACAACAGTCAAACACACAAACCAGTGGGCCACTAGTCTCTAGGGGCGAGTGGCATACAGCAGTGTTTGTAGTGTCCAGATTGTGGTCTGAGATCTGTCTCCCCACAAAAGAAATGGGCTTCTTGGAGAGTGGCTAAAAAAAAAAAAATACATGTGTGTGTGAAATGGGCCTGAAATGTCATGCCACAGCAGAGAGCAAAGAAGCTTTCCCAGACTCCTGGGATCATGACAGACTGACTCAGGACCCCACCGGAAGAGGCCCCCGTGTGAGGTGTGGAGTTCCAGCTCTGTCCCACAGGCAGAGATTCACATCACCCCGGCTCCTGGAAACATTGAGTCACATCCACACCTGTTACAGAAAGTGCCCTGGGTGCAGGAATGGATTCCTTCTCCAGAGGTGCCCATGGTAACTGGTGTGCAGGCAAGTGAAGATCCAGTCTCTCCCTCAATGTAGGACAAGTTGGAAGGGACGCTTGTGGGACCCTCTGGGACCTCAGTGCCACTGCTTTGTGGCTCAGCTCCTCCCTCGCACACAGTGCCCTCTCCGAGTCGGAGTAGTCCTGGGAACCCCACTAAGACACTGCCTGGCAAGAGCTGGGACAACCCCGGCTTCAGGAAGTGTCTCAGTGATGTGCTGTGCAGCAAGTCACCCAAGGTCAGGGCCAAAATCAACCCAGGCTGTTGTGCTTGAGCCGCCTTCTTACTCCAGGATTCTTATTTGCAAATCCACTGCCTAGCTGAAATTTCTTTTAATCTCTAGTCAGTAGAGTGCTTTTGTGGTCATTTGTGGACATGCCCAGGGCAGGAGAAAATTTAAATTCTTTGTTCCTAGTGAGCTTGAGCCATGAGGTGTTTTGTTTGCCTTTCTCAACTCATATCACGAACAAGTGTCTTTTTCTGTCATTTCCTGCATAGCAGTTTTTACATTTTTGTACTTTCTGGGTCCTTCCCTGGTTAGAAGGCTCCCAAGCATCCTGCTGTAATGCTGCTTGGTATTGCTAGGCACCAAAAGGCTGGGATGTATCTCATGCAGGAAGTAGGTGTGTTAGGTCAGGTTTGCTCAGGTTTGTGTATGGTGATGTGAGCCACGAGTGCAATGAATCAAGAGGTTGCGCTCAATGAGGAAAGCACACAGAGCACGGTCCTGTGTTGATTGGTGAGAATGTCGATAGCAGACGCTCACAGGCACCGCGCTGTGTTTCCCCTAGGAGCAGTGGCTCCATTATGTGCAAGGTTGGCCCTTGTGATGCGTTTGTAAAACATAACTCCTGTGCTGGAGAGATTCATCTGTTTTTCTCACCATTTTGTTGGTTATTTGGGCGGCTCTGATGGTTTGGTCTGAGCTCATTCCCATGGCTGCATTAGCTGGTAGCTGCTCCAGTGCCATGGTGAACCACGAAGGCCTTGCTCACCTGTGAGTGGTGATGTGGGAGTATTGTTAGGGGTGCCTCATTTTCCTCGGAGGACCTCTGAGTCTGCAGTGGGCTAGAGCTGGTGGACTCAGGTCTCAGGTGGTCCAAGGGCGTGGAAACAGAAGCGACAGTGCCTCTTACCGCTGAGTTCGGAGTTTGTACCACCTTCCTTCTGCCACATTGTGAGGACAAGTCACAAGGCCAGCTCCTATTTCCCGAGGGTGGGAATGGAGATGCAAAATATTGTGGTCAGATTTTCTAATATACCATAGTAAGTGAATAATTGCCGTGCATTGAAACATATTAAAATGCGTGATCTTTATAAAACATTTTCTAGTGTATCAGGGAGAGAAGTGATAGAATTATGGGGTCACTATTTTCAGTTCCCAGTGAATTTGTGGATCTAGGCCAACATGATCAAAAAAACCAGCAACTCCCTCATATGAAAACATCCAGGCATCGCTGAGTCCCTACTTCAAGTGAAAGACCCAGAAGCAGTTCCAGACTCCTGACCTCAGCCTATGTCAGACCTGGCTGTCGCGGGCATTTGTGCAGTGATCCAGCAGATAGAAGACCTCTCTCTGCCTTTCTAATAAGAATGAATGTAAATACGTAAAAATGTAAAAAGGATATGCTAAATACAAAACGGTGTGCAGGACTAAAGTGTCCATTCCTGAGAAGTGGTTTTGTGTGATAACACCACAAAGACACACAAGCAAGTAACTGTATAAATGTGATATTGATGATTTCACTTGAGGATACAGAGGCTTGTGGATAGAATGATTTCCATTTCTTGGCGCAAGAATTGTCTCTTTATAATGTTTAAGGTATAAATTTGTTTTATGTGGATTTATGCATCAGTTTTATTTTACCAGAAAAAAAAAAGTAGAACTATTAATGAAATTGGTGTGTGAGGCTTCCCGGGGGCGGGGTAATCTTTTCACTGAAGCGCATGAGATTAATCACGTATTCGGAGTCCCATCCTTTACAGCTGGTTATGGAATTCTGGGGAAGCAGCTTTCCCATGACCCCTGACCCCGCGTTCCCTCCAACGCGAGCGCAAGGGCGCGCGCCGCCGCTAGGGGGCGCAAAGGAGGCTGTGGCGGTGCCCATGGCGTCCCTAGAGGGTCCCCGCGGGGGCTTCTTCCTGGGCCTCCTGCTGTGGCTCCAGCTGGCTCAGCCCGTGCTCAGTGAGGCCCTAGGTGGGCGGGGAGAGGACGTGGCTGGGCCGGGCGGCGCACAGGGCCGGGGACTGGGAAGGCGGTGGGCGTGTGCCGGGCGCCACAGGCCAGGAAGAGGAGGAGGAGGAGGAGGCCCAGGGGGCGATGGGCTCTCCTATCTTCCTGCTGGGCTGTTCTTCTGCAGGTGTGGGTTACCAAGCCAAGGAGGAATCTGGGGTGACCGTGCCAAGCCCAGAGCACCTGGGACCCCCGAAATCCCTCAGGATCTTGGAAGTCACTGCAGCTCCGGGGTCTCCAGCGCCGGCAGGGCCTGCGGGACCCCGGGTCAGGTCAGCACCCACAGGGCGACAGGACTTGGAGCAGGCTGGGACCTCTCTGCCTGAGGAGCTGTTTCCTCGAGGTACTGCGTGGGGCCAGTTCTGTGGTGCGGGGTTGGAGAGATGGGAGCTCCCTGAGGGTAACCTGCTGTGCCCTGGGCGGAGATGGCGGGGTGGGGGCGGCGGCTTCACGTCCAGTGCCCTCTCTTTACCGAGCCAATCAGCGTGCGGCAATAGAACCATGAAGATAGTGGGTGGATCACCGGCTCCAGAGAGGAGGTGGCCCTGGCAGGTGAGCTTGCGGATTGGATACAGCCACTTCTGCGGCGGCTCCCTCATCACCAGCAGGTGGGTGCTGAGTGCGGCCCACTGCATATTAAGGTGAGTGTGGTGCCGAGTGTGTGTCCCTGATCTGTCATCCAGGAGCCATTGTGTTCCCAACTGAGCATCGTCTTCATCTGAAAAAGGGGGTGATGCCCCCATAATTATTCAGTTGAAGTGAGACCTGAGATTTGGCATTGCTACCAAGTCCGGTGATGCTACTGGTGCTGTTCTGGGCCCACACGTGGAGCCCCACAGCCTGGAGTGCTCAGGCGTCCTGGGAAGGGCGGCAGTAGGGAGGGGGAGGTGGCTGCTGGAGGACAGCCAGGCTGGGAAGCACTGGATGTGGGGAAGGGGAGTGTGTGGCCCCTCCAGGATCTCTAGTCTGTCCCCACAGATACGCAGACTACATGGTGCAGCTGGGAGACCGAATGCTGGACGGTTCTTCAGAACAGGCACTCATGGTCCCTGTTCAAAAAATCATCATCCATAAAGATTTCGAAGCTGCATCTCTGACTCATGACTTAGCCCTTCTTCGGCTGGCCTACTCCGTGAATTTCTCTTCATACATCCAGCCCGTGTGCCTCCCTGGAAAATCTCTGACAGTGAAAGCTGGGATGCTGTGCTGGGTCACGGGATGGGGCCAGCTGTCAGAGAACGGTGAGACTGCCCGGCAGCAGGCTGCGGTGGGGCAGTCTGGTGGCCTGGGTCAGCCCTCCAGCCTCAGGCAGGGGAAAGGGGCGATAGGTGGGATGGGGGATGGGGGAGCAGATGCTGCAGGAGTCATCTGCTGATTAAGGTTCCTGTTGCTGTGCAGGACCTTGGGTGTGGGCGCCGGGTATGGTGGGTTCTCTCCAGGGGGGATTCCAGCTCGGGGTGATGGGCTGTGTTTCCTTTGGAGCTGCCCCTCACTAAAAGTACCTGCCCCAATAGGGTGGGCTGTCTGTCTCCAAGGAGAGAAAGCCAAGACAGAGCAACTCTGTAGGGCCTCTTTCCCTTAGGGAGAGGCTGGGTTTGTTACATTGCTGGTGCTACCCGTGTGTGAGCCTGGGGCCCTGTTTTAGAAGGTAATGATTTTTTTTTAACTATATCTTTGGTTGTTGTCTTCATTTTTCTTTTCCTTTTTTTTTTTTTTTTTAAGATTTGCTTATTTATTTGAAAGGCAGTTACAGAGAGGCAGAGGTAGAGAGAGAGAGAGACAGACAGACAGAAAGAGATCTTCCATTGCTGGTTCACTCCCCAGATGGTCTCAGTGGCCAGAGCTGAGTTGATCTGAAGCCAGGAGCCTGGAGCTTCCTCCAGGTCTCCCATATGGGTGCAGGGGCCCAAGGAATTGGGCCATCTTCTGTTGCTTTCCCAGGCCATAGCAGAGAGCTAGATCAGAATTGGAGTAAGTGGGACTTGAACCAGCACCCTTATAGGATGCTGGCACTGCAGGCGGTGGCTTTACCCACTATTCCACAGTGCTGGCCCTAGTAAAAATGCTTTACTGCTGCTCAGAGCTGTCACAATTAGCACTGATACTCAGAGTGGCAGTCACTTGGTCATCCTTTCTCAGGGTGGCAAGGTCTAATTTCTCTCCCATGTATTCTTCCTTGTGTGTGTGTGTGTGTGTGTGTGTGTGTGTATTTTCAAAGAATTATTTATTTGAAAGGCAGAGAATAGGGCCGGCACTGTGGCACAGCGGGTTAACGCCCTGGCCTGAAGCGCCGGCATCCCATATGGGCACTGGTTTGAGTCCTGGCTGCTCCACTTCCGATCCAGCTCTCTGCTATGACCGGGGAAAGCAGTAGAAGATGGCCCAACTCCTTGGGCCCCTGCACCCGCATGGGAGACCTGGAAGAAGCTCCTGGCTCCTGGCTTCAGATCAGCGTGGCTCTGGCCATTGTGGCCAATTGGGGAGTGAGCCAGCGATGGAAGACCTCTCTCTCTCTCTCTCTCTTTCTCTCTCTCTCTCTCTGCCTCTCCTCTCTCTGTGTAACTCTGACTTTCAAATAAATAAATAACTTTAAAAAAAATGAAAGGCAGATTGACAGAGACACAGAGCAGGAGAATGATCTTCTGTCCAATTATTCACTTCCCAAATGTCCATCCTAGCTGGGTCTTGGCCAGGATCCCTGAACTCCGTCCTGGTCTCATGTGGGTGTCAGATGGCACTCAGACCATCTTCCACTGCCTTCACATGCACATTAGCAGGAAGCTGGATCGGAAACAGAGCAGTCATGACTCAACGGGACACCAGAGTTTTGGGTACCAGCATTGCAAGTCGCAGCTGAAGCTGCTGCAGTACAACACCAGCTGCTTCCTTTTACTCTCTTGATTTTGTTTCTTGCCCTTCCTCTTTCAGTGTGAACACTGGCCCCAAGTTCCCTTTTTGTCACAGGGGCACCAAAATTACTGCCCTGCTTACCGCCAAGGAGGGAGCTGTGTGTGATCCCCCTGGCTAGGACCCGGCGTGGGTACTGGGGGCTCTCGTCATGGTGCAGACTTACTAACAGAAATGACCTCTCTGTAGGGAGTTCACAGATGGCTGTTGAACTTCAGGAATCTCAACTAAGAATTATTCACTTCAATCAATGTAACGGGATGCTCCAGAACAAGTTGTCAACTAGCACTAATTTGGTCAAAATGGGGTCTATCTGTGGCTACAGTGCCCAGGGAAAGGATGCCTGCCAGGTCAGTTGCTGGCCCAGTGCTGCTGTGTGTTCCGCTCATCTCCTTAAAGCTTCCTCATCCCTTGGCAGTAGGGCATAGCCACTGTCTAGCCCTGCACTCACCCCTTCTCAAGTTAGTGGGACATGAGCATAGCCACCTAGACTCTCCTGGGCTAGCCTGAGCTGACCCTTCAGGAGAGAACAGCTGTCACTGCCCGATGCTAGTGGGACGGGAGCAAGGCCAGGGTGAATCGGGCAAGAGATAACAGTAACGCACGTTCATTTTCAGCCCCTTCTGTGTAACAGGCAGTGTGCTTGGGCAAACCCTTTACTTATTTTGTTTGTTTATATTCTGCTTTATGAAGCATGAGTTTTTAAGTAGATATGCTTTTTGTTAGAATTTTTTAGTTCTCATTTCTCATATTCACAGAAATCTGGGGTTGGCAGGATCTTTGGGGAGCCTGAGGATGCCCCATATGTGCCTGATGCCTCAGCATCTTGCTGTGTAGACACCCTGCTCTGATGTGGACATGTTCCAAACCTGCTGTTGGTTTCTTTCTCTTTCTTCAGGGAGATTCTGGGGGGCCCTTGGTCTGTGAGTATAATGAAACATGGATCCAAGTGGGGGTTGTGAGCTGGGGCATTGGCTGCGGTCGCCAAGGCTATCCTGGAGTCTACACAGAAGTTGGATACCACAGGGACTGGATTTTTAGGCACCTGAGTCTGGCTACCTGTCTGGACTCAGCTACCTTCCTCATTTTAAGCCTGTGTCTGGTGCTGTCCCTGCATATCCTGGGGACCTCGTGATCGTCATGGCCTACTCTTCTCCTATTTCTGAGACTCACACTAAACTTATCACCCAGTCTGCTCTTCTATTTCAATATCCTTTCCTCAAAATCTAGTTGGCATTGATTGATCTTGAAGAGGTCCACGCACTAGACCATGGCAAGGAGACTGGGGCCTACAAAATATCTGGCTTAGTGTCCTGGTCACCAGCTGTCTTGGCCAACCCTACTCGTGGGCTGCATTTACTTGGGAAAGAGGGGGTAAACTAAGCCCATCTAGAAGACAGCCACGCTGCCAGGTGGAGCTGGCATCTTAGTATCTACCAAAGAAGAGATAGCATCGACAGTGAAGCAAGCCCTAGACATGCCTCTGATTTCAGGGCTCTGGCCTGAGATTTTTGTCAAACTAGTTAGCGTGGTGATTGCTCAGAGGGCATGAAGGAGCATAGCCAGGCCCCTGCAGAGCTGCAAGGCCCTGGCTTCCACTTCTGGCTCAGTTGCCTGCAGCTGGAGAAGGTTCCCTGTACCCCAGTGAGGGTCACCTGTGGCCTCAACCACACAGCCCTCTCTGAGCAACCCAGTCCCTCTTATTCAATACCTCATTGGCTGCATTCAGGAACCCCCTACATTGTGTTGAGGGATTACGGAGTGTGGAGGCTTCAGATGTCAACTGAATAAATGTTTGGAGAGTGTCTCCCGTGTGCTTCTGAGCTCTGCTCCCCTGTGCGGTTTGCTTGCATGAACCATACTCTGTAGAGAGCTCTTCATTGTGTTCTTGGGGAATACATTTCTGGTCTCCCGTAGACTGTGGAAAATCAGAGATGAGGAGCTGTCTGCCCCCAGCTAAGGTGGCCCTAGGTGGTGTGACCTAGCCTGTGTCCTGTTTTTACCGCCAGTATCTCTAGAGCTGCAGGGCTGTAACACTTCTTCACAGCCTCTGTGTGAAGGAGCGGGGCAGCAAGAGGGACAGAGTTTAGGACATGGCACCCTTCCTTGTACTCATGCTTCCCTGCTGTTCCGCCTGGAGGAAGCATGGGCTATGGGCTGGGCCTTTTTTTTTTTTTTTTTTTTTTTTGACAGGCAGAGTGGACAGTGAGAGAGAGAGACAGAGAGAAAGGTCTTCCTTTGCCGGTGGTTCACCCTCCAATGGCCGCCGCGGCCGGCGCGCTGCGGCCGGCTCACCGCGCTGATCCCATGACAGGAGCCAGGAGCCAGGAGCCAGGTGCTTTTCCTGGTCTCCCATGGGGTGCAGGGCCCAAGCACCTGGGCCATCCTCCACTGCACTCCCTGGCCACAGCAGAGGGCTGGCCTGGAAGAGGGGCAACCGGGACAGAATCCGGCGCCCCGACCGGGACTAGAACCCGGTGTGCCGGCGCCGCTAGGCGGAGGATTAGCCTAGTGAGCCGCGGCGCCAGCCATGGGCTGGGCCTTGATCTCAAAGAACTGAGTACTGGCAGGAGGAGCGCAGGTGGGAGGGGCTCACTGTGAGAGCCAGAAGTGTTCCGCTCCTGATTCCCAGCTAGTCTCCTGAGTCGCCCAGATGGCTCCTGGTCATCCCAGCCTTTATCGCCGATGTACTCCTGTATCTGTGTTGGTGCCAGAGACCCCAGGTATCAAAGGCCATAAGTCTGAGATGGTATTACCTGGTGCTGAAAGAAGCTGGGGCTGGACTCTCTGCTTTCTGACCCCACCTGGTCACAGCCATCCCAGTAAGTCCTAATGCGGAGTTTAGTTATGAGTAATTAATTCAAACTGTAGGTTAGTTTAGATTAAGTATATTTAAAATTAAGACTTAATAATATGTAGTATGTTAAGATTAAATGATATAAAATATGAGGCAACATATTAAAATCTTGGTCTAAAGAGCTTTCAGGACCTGGCGCGAGAACCGCTGTTGCTCCATGACAGGCTTTATTTTAAGTCAGAAAAGACAGGCCTAAGGGTACGGGAGTGAAACTATTCCTGGAATTTAGACTCTTCTGCCTTCCTGTATGACGCCTACCCCCTAAGTTGCTCAAATGCACCAATAAAATGCATAAATTTAGGTAACTGCCATATAAGGAATAAGGAACTCGCCTACGTGTGTAGTGACGTATGTACTTGTTTACTCGAGTGCATAAAAATGCTGGCAGGGGGAGGGACGGGGCTTCTTGCCTCAGCACTGTACTACGTTGTAGGTGCCAGGAAGAGCCCCAGCTAGCTGGTAATAAAATCCTCTTGC